ACATACTATCACAAACACACACACCCACACGACGCAGCACCGACACGCAGACCCGCACACAAATCTCCCTACATCACACCACACAATAGGCTGCACCACACAAGCCAGCAACGACACAACACACACAAACACACACACACACACACACCCGCACGAGGAGAAAATGCAGCTTCCCATTAACTCAAGCGCAAAAGGTGTGCCATACGACTCTTACAGCGCCATAGTATCATCGCTATACCATCGCTTCCCCATGTTACGTAACACAAACATCCTTCTTGTGCTAAAACTGACGAAGCCAGAGAGGACGCCGCCGCTCTTTCCACCCGGTTTCAATTTCATGAACCGTCTCTTCTTCAACAGGGAGGTCTACAGCGCCCCCTCTCGCACCGGTGTCTCCTCTGCTTCACTCGGGGCTGAATTTAACGCTTTAAATTGAAAATACGGAGGATGTTTATGATTTGGTTAAGTGTAGGATTATTTGATGGTTGGTTTGTTTTTTTGTCTTTGTGTTTTAGGCTTGAAATAAGTCGCTGTATCGGAAGAATGAACACCTAAGCGTGGAAAAGTGAGTCAGGGTTTTGAACGGCGCAAGTGGTGTGATGCAAAGTTGTCAGGTACTTTTAAATGTTTCTTTTATTTTGATAGTGTAGTATGGTAGACTGGAAACTAAATGTCTTTTTATTGGCAATATCGTGCGATTGTCGATGACATGCCAAAGCAAACCGGATAGCTTTTGAGTCGGGAATGGTCTGATAAGTGAATTTCAAACGTTGCAATTTCTGGCAGTAAAAAGTCGCGCGATCGGTTTAGCCGTTGATTCTAGTTGGCGTTCAAGAAGGGTTACATGTACACAGCCAAAAGCAAATTTAATGGTTGTAAGGAAACAACATCTGTTTCTATTTATTCAATGTCCATGTTTAAAAGTCGTGTTAATATTTTTCCGTCGGTATTCCCCCCGCCCACTCCGGCACACGAGTTTTTTCCTCTTCATGAGACGAGGTACCTGGTACTCCCTTCACGTGGTGTTCGGTCATCATTCTGCTCAGCCAGTCGGCACTTTTTATACCACTCTTCAAATTCTGGAAATAACACTTACTTTACGATTCTGCTAATCTAACAGGCCTCAGAATCATTTAATTCTAGATTCTGCACTCACGTACAAAGGAATCTTTTCTTATCTACAGAAGAAACGATACGATTTTCCACTGCGCGCATCGTACGTCTGGCAGCTACCATACCAGCTGTTGCTACGAGCCACATCGACAAAACCTAAATAAAACGTCTGAAATTAATATCGGAAATGAATAAAACGCACTCTGACTCAATCAACGCGGCCGCATACTTAACAATCACACCTAACATATGATAATCCAAGTACAATGCCTTTATCTGAGAGCAGGAGCAGCAGGAGGTGGGAGGAGCCTCTGCTCCCCAGACACAAGCTCAAGACCGTAGGTCAGACCAGTACGCCCGTAGCCAACCCCGGCATTGGACGAAGGAAGGGTTGTAGTGCTCATTTGCGTGTGCATGTCGTGTGTTAAGTTTAGTGTTAGTTGAATATAAGAACGACAGAATGTCTGCTTCTAACGTCCTCTCCACACTCCGGCGCAGCAGCCCGTCGGTAAGTCTTGATATTGGAACGAGAAACCTGTTGTTCATTTTTACCTTTTTTTTTACTGTTTCCTCTCTTTAAGCACAAGGTTTCCCCAGTTATGTCCAGCGGTGAGTCACGTAGGTTTTCACGTTTCATAACACACAACACAGGGGGAGGAAATGTCAGTATGGTTACATATATGATCCATGTAAAAGTATTGCTATGCAGTGGTACGAAATGATTTATAATTGTTAAATGAAATCACCAAGCTTATGTGTAAGTAGGTGAGTCGGAATGATTTAAGTAGGCAGTGTTGATACACCTTTTAGGAAAACTGCTGAGCCATATGAGTCAACGTGACCCACATTTAGAAGGAAATCCAGACAGACAAAAGACAGTGAGAGTCTCTTCCTACTTCTTGAAATTGACAATTACAAAGGTAGAGTTTTAAAGGCCGTAGATTTGCACAGTTCTTCGAAAATCAATACTGAATTTCATTAAAATTACTGAAATATATAGGTGTGTGCGTGTGCGTGCGTGTGTACAAAATACACATGGATATGTCTATATATAAACCACATACAGTAATCACCGACTAATTATTGTACCAAACCAGTACATAATTAAAACAACATTTGACTGTTAGTTCTTTGTGCTTTGTTGGTATCGAATGATGTGAATATTTGACGAGAACATGATACCAGGTGGGAAGTGCCACGCCCACAGGTCTGTTGCTCTCTCTCTCTCTCTCTCTCTGTCTCTCTCTCTCTCTCTCTCTCTCTCTCTCTCTCTCTCTCTCTCTCTCTCTCTCTCTCTCTCTCTCTCTCTCTCTCTCTCTCTCTCTCTCTCTCTCTCTCTCCTTCTATCTCCCTTTTTTGTCGGTCTCCTCCCTCTCCCATCCCCTCCTTCCTTCCCTCTTTCACATTCCCTCCATTTCTCCCTCTCCCTTTACCTTTCCCTCCTTCCCTCCCTCTCCATCTCCTTTCCCCTCCCTTCCTCCCTCCTAATTGTTGCTATGGTTGCTGGATTGATTGCTTTATCAGCTCCGCACAAAGGAGCAAGAAGGCGGAGAGAGAGAGAGAGAGAGAGAGAGAGAGAGAGAGAGAGAGAGAGAGAGAGAGAATAATTTTATTCAGTTTTAATTCCATTTGTTACAATGGATATTTTTTGTTGTGACAACACACACACCACACCCACACACACAACACACACCACACACACACACACACACACACACACACACCACACACACACACACACACAGAGAGACAGAGAGAGAGAGAGAGAGAGAGAGAGAGAGACTTAAATTAATCTTCCATATTCTTATTTTCTATATTTTTCCGCTTGATATTCCCACTTCTGTCTATTTTATCTATTTCCGTCATTTTTTCGTCCTCCACTTGTAAAATGTCTTCCACTTCCTCCAGCTGCTCTTCCTTCACCTTTATCCACATGTTCCTCTTCCACATACGTGTTATCCGCTTGATATTCCCACTTATTTTCACTTCTTCCATCTTTTATCTCATCTTTCTGTTTTCTCCAGCTGTCTCTCTTCCGCATAAATCATTTCTTCTTTCCACTACATCCACATGCATTTCTATTCTCTCTTGTCTTCCATCCTCTTCCCGTAACTTTTTTTCTTCTCTCGCTCTCTCTTTCTCTCTCTCTCTCTCTCTCTTCTCTCTCTCTCTCTCTCTCTCTCTCTCTCTCTCTCTCTCTCTCTCTCCTCTCTCTCTATCTCTATCTCTCTCTCTCTCTCTCTCTCTCTCTCTCTCTCTCTCTCTCTCTCTCTCTCTCTCTCTCTCTCTCTCTCTCTCTCTCTCTCTCTCTCTCTCTCTCTCTCGCTCTCTCTCTCTCTCTCTTTCTCTTTTTTGGGGGGAGACCTGTTTTCTCCTTGATTTTGTTCTTGTTCTTGAGTCGTTGACCTATTTTTCCGCTTTCATTCACTCTCTCTCCTCTCTCTCTCTCTCTCTCTCTCTCTCTCTCTCTCTCTCTCTCTCTCTCTCTCTCTCTCTCTCTCTCTCTCTCTCTCCCTCCCTCCCCTCCCTCTCCCTCTCCCTCCCCCCTCTTCTCCCTCCCCTCCCCTCCCCTCCCCCTCTCCCTCTCCCTCTCCCCTCTCCCCTCTCCTCCCTCCTCTCTCTCTCTCTCTCTCTCTCTCTCTCTCTCTCTCTCTCTCTCTCTCTCTCTCTCTCTCTCTCTCTCTCTCTCTCTCTCTCTCTCTCTCTCTCTCTCTCTCTTTCACTCTCTCTTCATCTTCCTCTTCTTCCTCCTCTCTTCCTCCCTCCCCCGCGCCCTCTCTCATCTATTAATGTCCCTCCAATCTTCTCATTACTTTCACTAGCTTCTGGTTTCAGTCCATAAAGTATAAAGACTGCAATAACTTCGCTTATGTAAGGGTGAAGTGTCATGCACACAGCGTCAGCACAGGTGTATAGGTGATACTACAGTGTCAGACATGCACAAGGGTTGCAGTGTTTACATTGCTGTCTTCGTAGCTGTGCATGGTGATGGTATGAGACATTTCCACGACTCTGATTCTGTTGATATACTGTACAGGGGGAGTGAAAATATGAAAGGCTGTGTCTTCATTGCCTTGTCCTTTTCCCTCTTTCTTTCGCCGTTCCCTTTTCTCTTTCTCTCTACTTTTTTTTATGTTTCTCGGTCTATCATTTCCCCTTTTCCATTTTCACATTCGTTTTCCCTGTTTCTTCCTCTTTCTATTTTCATTTCCCTTCCCTTCCCCCCTCCTTATCCCCTTAATCTGTCTCCTTTTCCATTTCCTTCCCCTTCCTTACCCCTATCCAAATCCCTTCCTTTTCTCCTTCTCTCCCTTCCTACCTCTTTCCTCTTCCTCTCCCTTCTTACCCCTTTCCCTTCCCCTTCCTCTCCCTTCCTGCCCCTTTCCCCTTCTCCTCCCCCCTATCAGATTACCCCATACGCCGGTACACCCCCTCGTACACCCTTCCAGTCCATAAGGTCGCAGTACCCAGTATGTGTTTCGGAACTTTGGTACTAACGGAGGGCCCTGGGTGCCCTGGTTGCAAAAGGTCTTTACGTAATGCCACAGATGGAATTTGCCGTCAAAAGGAATACCATATGTGCCAAGGGTGACCAGTGTGAGTAAGAGAGAGAGACAGACATAGATACATAAAAACATAAAAGAGAGAAGAGAGAGTGAGAGAGAGCGACAAAGACAGACAAAACAGTGAGAGAGAGAGAACAGAGAGAGAGATAGACTGTTTAGTAAAGTTTTATACTGTTTACTTTTAAAGAAGGTAGCCCTAAGCCGAATGAAGAATTGAGAAAGGAGAAGTGTATTCACTATCACTGTGTACATAAGGCGAATGCCAAAAGAGGGTTGGAGGAGCGAAGAGAAGAGAAGAAATAACGAAGATGAAAGTCCGTGACATTTTTTCATTATCTCCAGCGCTGTGAGGACTAAGCAATGCGTGCACACTACAAGCTTCATGAGAAAGAAAGTGAAGAGAAAATGAAAGCAAATTAGAGATAGACATGCCACTTATGCAGATGTCAAGGCCAAGTTTCAAGTTTAATTTCTGTGAGAAGCAACATCTTTTTTTTTTTCTAAAAATAAATGAATAAATATAGCATTGGTTTTCGGGTATGTATATACGTCGACATCAATCGATTTTTACAGTAAACAGTTTGAATTTTGTTGTTCATGTTATGAATCACTCTCTCTCTCTCTCTCTCTCTCTCTCTCTCTCTCTCTCTCTCTCTCTCTCTCTCTCTCTCTCTCTCTCTCTCTCTCTCTCTCTCTCTCTCTCTCTCTCTCTCTCTCTCTCTCTCTCTCTCTCTCTCTCTCTCTCTTTTCCTCTCTCACACTCTCTCTCTCTTTCTCTGTCCCTCGTTCCCTCCCTCCCTCTCTCTCTCTCTCTCTCTCTCTCTCTCTCTCTCTCTCTCTCTCTCTCTCTCTCTCTCTCTCTCTCTCTCTCTCTCTCTCTCTCTCTCTCGCGTGTTCTAAAATTGTCAAGACTAAACGGGAGTATGCCAAAAAGATGGAATTTAATCGAGCACGATCCTCTTTGTACTGCACGACCTAATTCGTGACTATTTGTGTTATATATATATATTTTTCGTTTCTTCTCTTTCTTAGTTGCCACTTTCATGTGATTTGTGAGTGTGTGGAAGTTTTTAGTAGGACGGGACGTGTCGAGTATTTTATTTAGCTGTCGTTGTTATTATTATTTTTGTGTGTGTAGAGAAAAGCTGTGCCAGAATTTGTTTTGTGTGTTGTTTATTCATGAAAGCTGCGTGACATTTATGATAATTTATTTGAATAATTCCTGTTTATATGTATGTGTATACACACACACTCACTCACTCACTACTCACTCACTCTCCCCCACTCCCTCTCTCCCTCTCTCCCTCCTCCTCCCCCTCCTCTCCCTCTATCTATCTATCTATCTTCCTCTTTCCTCCCTCCCTCCCTCTCTCGGCGTTCACCTTCTCAAAGAAGAAAAAAATACGAATGGGAATTGGGTACAAAAACCTTTTCTCCTTTTTCCTTCACAATGGCCAGGTATGGCGAAAGCGAACCGCAGGGATTGCGAGGTGTGGTTTGACACCCATGCCAGGCACAGGCATGCTCAGCATGGTTTAAAGGGCTTATGAGACTCTGTGATGTGTGCATGACCCGACTGTGGGAACTCCCCGACGCACGCTTTGGACTCGTGGTGTGAAGTAGCCTTAGTTGTAGAGGAATCTCTTCTCTCTCTCTCTCTCTCTCTCTCTCTCTCTTCTCTCTCTCTCTCTCTCTCTCTCTCTCTCTCTCTCTCTCTCTCTCTCTCTCTCTCTCTCTCTCTCTCTCTCTCTCTCCTCCTCCTCCTCCTCCTCTCCCTCCTCCTCCTTCCTCCTTCCTCCTTCCTCCTATCCTCTTCCCTTCCTTTCCTTTCCTCCTCTCCCTTCCCACTCTCTCCCCCCCCCCCACACACCACCACTCATCGTCAGGTGGTGATACCTCCTCCCGCAATATTCAACCATGACTTTTATATTGAGAGGGAATC